AGCTCTAATTTTAATTTATATATTAGTAAATGTTATATTGAGAGGTCCTGAAGGTTCATCAGACTGGCAAAGAGTCCTTGGTGCAAAAAGAATTTTTAAAGTACCACATGGACACTTCTTATAGGAGTGTGTGTGTGTGTGTGTGTGTGTGTGTGTGTGTGTGTGTCTGTGTGCGCACGCTAGTATGCCTGCGGGGGGTGCATGTATGTGCTAGAGATCAAAGTCAGGGCTTCTCATATGCAAATCAAGCATACTTCTACCAGGAGCTACATCCCTATCCACTTATCATTCTCAATGTTGACAATCTCGTCAACATTCAGTAAATCAGTGAATTTTTCCAAAAGGTAAATAAACATCCATGTTCAAAAGGTAAATAAAACATGTTTAATCACAAAACAAATTCAATATTCTAACTTTGACCTATTTGGCCCCAAGGGATCTGATTTTAATTTACTCCCAACTGGGAATCTTCCTTGACTTTGAAATTCCTTATCTCCTACTCTTCTTTATCTGAGATCTCTAAGTCAGGATGGTTTGGTCCTTGCTGGCCCCTCTGCCAGTATGGCTGATGTTAGGGCAGCCACTTAATTCTCATGCTCCAGTTTTGAGACATAACATGCCTTCACAAAGGAGCCTTTCTACCATCCTCTCCCAAACAGGAGCTCTGTCTTCTCTCACCTGCCCCGCCTCCACCTTCATTCCTGTTTACTTCCTTCACATCATTTCTTACAATAAAATCCATTACTTGTTTTTACTTCCTGTTAAATCCCAGCATCTGGTACGGTGCTTGGTATAACAGAAAAAAAAAACTAATACTCATTGAAGAACGAGTACAATGGAAAAAGTTTCAATGACGAATTGTTTTGTAAGACTCAACTTATCTGATCTTTAAGAATTCTTATTAATCCAATTATAACTGTGGAAGCTAAGGCTCAGAAGTTTGAAGTTATTTGTTCAAGTAATCTATTGAGCCTTGGGCAGCAGATCAGTACCCATCCCAAGTATACACACGGACTTTGGACTCCCATAGAACAATGTGAGGTGCACTCTCACCCTGAACTCTTGGGGAAGGGTCTAGGCCCTGCCCTATATGAAATGACAGACTATGGACACCCCCATGGAGGGCCTCACCCTCCCTGGAGAAATGAGAGGATAATGGGGGGGAGGGGAGGGCACGGGAGGAAGGGAGGGAATGGGAGAGGGACCTGGAACTGACTTGTGAAGCAACCTTGATTCTTATCTAAATTTAAACTGGAAAATAAAATTAAAAAAAAAAAGATCACTGAGTGACAAAATTATTTTATCTGATATCCTAGATATCCCTTAATCCTTCTACTATTCCCTCCTATGTCTCAACCAAACAGTAAAAGACAGAACAGATTGACTGTGAATATTTATGGCAAGATTTCTTGGGACTTCAGTGACCCACTGTATAAGGCTATGTGCCTTACATACTTCAAATCCCTTTCCTTAAGTATTTTCAGGAGGATTTAATTCACTGGAAATATGTACATAGTGATTGATTCTGCATCTCTCTCTCTCTCTCTCTCTCTCTCTCTCTCTGTGTATCATATTTTAAACATTTACCAATTATATGAATACAAATGTAAACTTCAAAAACTTAAGTGAAAGGAGAAAGAATAACCAAAGAATGTAATAAATTAGATGAACCTAGAGGTAAGTGTATGGAAATAGATAAGGCATTGTATCCATAATTCTGGTCTTATGCTTTCTAGTAGCCAACACAAAATGAGAAGTAGTCACAAAAGACATATTTCAAAGGCAACTATTTGTTTCCTCCTTCTGAGACCAATTCCTCTGTGGGCCCTTATAATGAAAGGGGCATGATATTGTAATGAGCATTCTCAATTACAGTCCCATAAATCAATATATCAGGCTTCATACAATGAACGTGTTGCAGCATGAATTAAAGGACATGCCTGGTGCGATACCCAAACCCACACAGCACCATATTGTCTTTAATCTAAATTGTGATCTAGGGATCAACCATATCAGTCCTGCCTATGGACTTGTTAGAAATGCAGGTTATCATCAGGACTTATCCCAAGGTTAAATCAGGATGTTTTCTATATTTTATGATATATTTATAATATTTATGACAATTTTCTGTATTTTGCTGACAAGACCAGCAGGTGATTCCTATGCAAAATGAGTTTTCAAAAGCACTGATCTAGTGGGTCATTTTGATTTGGATAAAAATTTGTAAGAACCTATAATTTATTCAATTCATTCATTCATTCAATAGATATTTATTGAGAACCCAGGTGTAGGAAATGCTTTCTTTAAACATAGCTCCAGAAACACTAGCATAAGGGAAAATATTGATAAATGAGATACCATTTTAAAGGTACATTGACAACGTAAGTCACGTAGTACACAGACAATATTTGCAACAATACAAAAGAAAAGTTAGGTACCTACACATGTGCTAGGCACTATGTTAATATTAAAGCCACAGCAGCATAAAAATATTTCCATCTTATGGAATTTATAGTCTGATTAATGAAGACATCAATAAACAAATTGAGTAAAAACAAGAAAGAGAGTAATTTTAAATAGGCCTGCCAGGAAATGCCTCACTAAGGAGATAAGGACCTATCCAAGGTCATGAAGCTAGCTGTAAAGATATCTAGAGGAGGTGTTCCAGGCGGGGAGAACAGAGAGTCCAAACACTGTGAGACAAGAGAATGCCTGAAACAACAGAAGGCCTGTGTGGCTATTGAACACTGAGTAAGAAACAAAGTAGGTATGCAAGAGGTTTGATCATGTGAGGCCTTATCGGCCATTTTAAGTATCACAGCTTCAGCTTTTAACTATGAGATAGGAAGCCACTGGAAAAAAGGCAATAGGGACCCACTGAAGGATGCTGAGCAGGAAAATGACGAATGAGAAGTGTCTTTAGGAAACTAGCTTTTTTAAAAAGGTGGATGAATGGCTGAGTGGGAAAAAGCTAGCTCAGAGTGATTCATTCATTCCATTACTTATTACGTGGCACAGATGTGTCAAATAATATGAGAGGCTCTAACTAGGGTGATAACTATGGGAAATGACAGAGAAAGGTGAATGTAAATGACATTGAATGAAAAAAGACACTGGGACACAAAGACAGATTATTTATAGAAAAATGACACACAAGTTAGAAATTCAATTTAATCAAGGTTCACGGATCATCTACTGAGAGAAAAGCTGTTTGCTGGCAAGGAGTTAGGGAGGGGAAGGTGTGCCAGTCCCTGCCCTACTAATTCAAAGCCTGAATTTCTTGTATTGCTGAAACTGAGGCTAGCACTAGGAGTAACTGATCTAACAAATTAAAAGCTCTTCTTTCAAAATCCTCGGAGTTTGTTCTCTTGTTTCTTCCCCTGGGGCCATAGAACCTCAATATGATTAGTACCAAAAGACATATCTCATCTGGCAGGAGGACAGAAGATAGGTGTCACATCTTTTTATGAGGTAAGGCTTTAAACTGGTTTTGGACCACCAGTTTCTGTGCAGAGCCTTCCTGGTCATTTGGCTGATTTTCCACTCTACCCATTATGTTATGGAGAAAAGACTGGAAGGCATGGGCAAAAGAAGAAACAGGCTTAGGGAAAACAACTGGGGAAAAATATTTTTTACAAAAATTGCCTACCATCAGACTGCAGGATTTGGGAAGCAAATGCAAATGTAATGCAAATGATATGTAAATCTCTCTGTGGCCTTCTAAATGGTTTTATACAACTGGAAGGGCCCTTGGGAAACAGCTAGCAGATAACAATGACTCAGAAGCAGAGCAAACTATTTCAAGACAACTTTGTCACATGGCCCTTCGCTGCCCTGCTAGCTTGATGCATCCTTTAGCAATTTTTCTCTTCACCTGAGTCAACCTCACCTGATGTAAATTAAAATAAGAAATCAAGTCTAATTGCTTACTGGTTGTCTAAGCTAATTACACCTCTACGGCACTCCATACACCTTTATTTTTTTCTTCAAATGCCTTCCTCACCACATCTAGCCAAGTTAAATGTGTTGCTTCCTGCCTAGAACAGTAAGTTGTTCCAGCGGATTATGAATGAATGTACCTTTCAGTTCTAGTTACTATGAGGTTTTATAGGGTTTGGTTTTGTTTTTTGGTTTTTTTTGTTTGTTTTTATTCCCACAGGAACTAATACATTTTCTTTTAACATCTACATGCTACATTCAAAGGCAATTCAGGAAAGAATGCCTACACATCTAGTTGTGAAACTAAATCACCTTCAAGGAGCCCCTGAAAAGCTATTTCTTAAGAAAAGCTGCCTGGTCACAAATACTGTTGCTTTGGTCAACCTAACTACTGATTTTAAAATAAGAAAAAATGCATTTGATTAAACTGAGTATATTTCTGCCTACACTTAGTTATTTTAAGACTACACTCCCATCAGATACATATTTATTAGGAGCCCCAGGGTGAATTTAACAGTAAATAACACAGTGTGCGCATCAGACCTACCTCTGGGCAGATAACTACTGGTTAACAGGCCTAGGAGTCCAGAAGCAACTTTCCTTACCATCAGTCTTAAAAGTTCCCTTACTTTTTTAAGACTCTAACATCCAAGGGTGCTTTTTCTAGCACGGTCAAAGGAAAGAAAATAACTCCTCACTCCCCCATTTTTAAACACTCACTTTTAAGGGCCACAAGGTCAACCCCTAACATGCTAATGAGGCCAAGAGGCATCTGGAGAGATGCCACCAAGTTCACTGCAAAAACAAGAACAAAGCACAAAGCCAAGATATCCAACAAACGGAAGCGCAGACAAAGAAAGGAGAAAATGACGGACAAAAGCAGAAAATAAAGCAGAAGGGACTGGAGAAAGAACAGCTCAAGACAAAGAAGTAACAAAGAAGAGATGGGGGATCCACGACCAGGGGTGGTGCGGCGGGCGTCGGGGAGTCCGGGAAAAGCAGGATCCCCGCGGGCGCGGGCAGCCGGCGAGCGCCCTCCGGCGGCCGGGGCTGCGTCTTACCTCCTGGGCGAGTTTCTGCTTGAGCACAAGCGCAGCGCACAGGTAGCCGGCCCGGCCCACAAACAGCTCGTCAGAGCCGCACTCCAGGAAGGAGACGGGCGCGCAGACGGCGCTCAGAGCCCGGAACTTGCCAAGGGGCTGCACGTAGTCTGAGCGGCCCAGGGCGTGGTACACGAGCGTGGCCACCGCGTGCACGCCCGCGCCCCCGAGCAGGAAGGCGGCGCGGGTGTCGGCGTCCGGCTCGCCCCACTCCTCGGAGCGGGAGCACGCGTCGATGAGGCGCTTGGCGGAGCGCAGGTAGCGCTCTCGGGCTCCTGCGAAAAGAGGGCTCTGCGAGACGTGGTAGAGCATGTAGGCCACCCCGGCCACACCGCTGTACAGACCCCCCTGGCAGCTGCTGCCCGCCGCCGTCGCCCCTCGGGCCTCAGCGCCGCCCCCCAGCGGGGGCAGCTCCTGAAGGATGCGTTCGATGGTGGAGGAGACCAAGGGCGCCACCGCCTCCTCGCACTGGCCCGCCAGCAGGCTGCCCTGGTAGTCATCGAAGCGGTTGGCGAAGCAGCGCTTGGTGTCCATGCTGTCGCCCGTGGCCCCCCAATGTCGAGCTGGGGACCTTTTGAGGGCGCGCCCTGCAGCCCGGCACAGCACCTCCTGCTCTCAGAGGCGCTCGGATAGCTGTGGATGCGGTGGGAGGGATGGAGCGAAGAGGGTGAGACAGGAGGTGACAAGAAGAGGTAGGCTCAAGGAGGGATCACGGAGCGGGTGGCCAAGTGGGGCAACGGGCTGCCGCGAGGCTCCCGAGTGGCCCGAGAGAGCACAGGGAATGCGTGTCGCGCGTTCCCCCTCCCAGAGGCTGCGCCCTCGCCGAAGCGCCCCCTCCTGCGCCGCCGCAGCTCCGCGGCTCTCCAAGGGGCCGAGGTGATCTCCCCAGGCAGGACCCACGCGGGGCCCGCGCCACTCCTCCCGCTCCGCCCTCGGCTCCTCCCCTCCCTGCAGAAAGCCTGGGACGTGCAGGGCATGGATCCGGAATGGTGAGGCTCGCCATCAGCACACCTGGCAGAAGAGGTGATGACTTCCAGTCCCTTGTGTGCTCAGAGGCTTTGCCTCAGTTCAACACCAGCAGCACCTGGGAGCGTGGTAAAAACGCAGCCCAGCAGGTTTCTCCTCAGACCTCTTGCATAGAAAGTCAAAATATACAGCAAGCGTCCTAGGTTAGAAGCATCCAAAATAAAGTTTGTGAATCCCCTGAACTAGGCTAAAGTACCGAGAATACACAGCGGGGAGTCTTTCGAGTTTGGTCACAGTGGCATTCTCATTCAAAATGCCTCTATACTGAAGGCAGCAACAGTGTGGGACCCATAGTGTGTAGCCTGCTTAATGTTTTTAAAAGGAGAGTGAAAACCCCTTTCTCGTCTTCTAAGGCATTATTTTGCTTGGCATGCACAAGAATAAAAACCGAAAGAACCACGCTAGATTTTGGTAAGGGAGTGGAAACTCCCTCACCTCCATCTACCCCTGCTCTCCAAGTTCCCCTGCTCCCTCATGAGATTAAAAAGAGGCCAATAAACAAAGATTATTAGCTACATGGATAAAGTTTAGATAAGAATCTAATTCGTCCTTAGTTCACCCTTTCTCTCCCTCTTCCGTTCCCTCCTGTTTATCTTTCACAGGCATTACTCCCAGTCTGGTCTCCTGTGTGCTTTGAAATTTCATAATAGAGTAACTGCACGTTTCGAGACTTCTTGAGGCTTGTAGTTGAGTGAAAAAGACAGCAAATAATGGCAAGCTATTTGTCCTTCTGTTCAGCTCCTTTTAACTAATTCTTCTTTCCACAAAATATTGACTACTGAAGGCTATAGAGGCCACGTCTCTCAAGCATATTTGTGTTTTCATAGGGGTTGTAAAGACACGAGCACAAGTTACTCATAAGAAAGTTTCTGGAACTATGTACAGAAAGCAACTACTTCACTCATTTTAAAGACCAGTTTTGTCTGGAAGCATGTTTACCTCGAAAGGGTCAATGGTTGCTGTGTATGAAATAAATCATAATGATCCATTTTCAGTACAGAGGGTATTTACAGCTCAGCAGAGGCTCATAGGATAGCACTAGGCCAGTCTATCTTAGCTGGCAGGTGGTACCCGCTTTTTTAAAGGTGCTCTCAGTTCATCTTAAGGTTGAAAAGTTACAGGCAGTCTGTCACATGACCCAGCCTATACACCAGAAAAGGAGGGAATCAGAACCGAAGAGATGGGTCAGCAATTAAGAGCACTTTCTGCTCATGAAAAAGTTTCTGGTTCAGTTCTCAGCACCCACATAGTGACTCACAAGTGTCTTACTCCAGTTCCAGGGCATCCAACACCCTCCTCTGGCCTTTGGGAATACCGGATACACACAGTGTACATATATGTACATGCAGAAAAAAATTCATACACACAAAATAAAAATAAAATAATTCCTTTAAGCAAAAGGAAAGAAAATCATGGAATCTAAAGCCTTGGGATATAAATTAGATAGTTTTTGCACCTTGAACCCATCGGATGGGGAATTTGGGACGCGAACAATACTAGACATTAGGGAGACTATACCTCCCTGAGGATCTCAGCCAGCGATGAATTCGGGGGTGGGGTGATGTTAACCGGACTAAGAAAACTGTTTGTTTGGTTTTTTTTTGCACCAAATTGGTACACCAGCCATTTTTGCCTGACTTTGCAAGGTCGCAAAATAAAATGCTTCATTTTTGCTACTGAGTCTCCAGTGTGCTTATTATAAAGAAAAGATCATTGTTTCTCACAATTTGAGGGCAGTCAAGGAATTTCTGTATTTGGTAAGTGAACACCCGTGTCTTTAAAGAGTGGGAGACACATCCTTCCCCACATTTGTGTGTTCTGCACTGGTCTCTTCCCAACACTTTAGATAAGAACAAAGAGGTACAAAATTGTGCGTTAGATGACAGAAGATGTGTTTCTCCCTTGTTCTAGCTGGAATAAAGAGGAAGACAGAATCCCAGAGTTGGCAAAGAAAAACAAGTCATTTCCTTTTCCTCCACTTTTATTCCTAATTCTATCAAGGGTTCCCAATGGGACCCATTTTATAAGTATAAGAACCCTTGACTTCCCTTCTTCTCTTACAGGGTTTTGAGTGCCTGCCTCTCTATTATAGCTTGAACAATGGTAATGAATGCATTCTGACTTCTAAAACTGTAATTACAGGATTAACGTAAGAATTTCTGGCTCTTACACAATTGCTTTTCTGCTTGCCTTTTCCTATTTACCAAGAGTTCGTCACTTCTCAAGGTCATTGATGTCTCCAAAGACTCTTACAATAAAGAAAAGTTTCTCTAACTCTCAGGCTATATTAGACCAAAAGAGGAAATACAAAAATCAAGTCGAAATATGATTTGCTTGACACTTATAACAGGAAAACGGAGGCTTAATTGCTCCTGCTCCTGCTCCTGCTCCTACTTGAGACAGAGTCTCTCTGTGTAGCCCTAGCTGTCCTGGAACTCACCCTGTAGACCAGGCTGGCCTCGAACTCACAGAGATCCACCTGCATCTGCCTTCCCAGTTCTTCAATTAAAGGCATGTGCCACCACTCTGGCATGTGACTTTTGTTTTACTGTGTAAAATATCAATTTTCTACAGTGTACCATGTATGTAATTTGGGTTCAACTCTTGTTTAAGGAAATGAAATAAGAAACAGTAAGTAGAGAGAAAGAAAATCATTGCAAATGATACAAATATGAGATTATATTTTGATTAAAATGGATAAAGAGAAAAGAGAATATTATAGATAGGCATGTATTTTATATGATCAAATGATATTTTGTCCTTGGACTGAAAAATAATATGTGAGGGCAAAATCAAGAAAACTTACAGCCCAGATGGAATCAGATATAGAGACACACAACCAGACATTATGGGAAGAGAGAGTCTAAATTGGATGTCTGTATCACATCTCTCCCCTCAGAGTTCATGGAACCCCAGAGAAGAGGAGGCAGAAAAGTATAAGAGCCAGAGGGGATGGAGGACATCAGGAAAGCAAGCCCTTATAAATCAGCTAACCAAGGCATATGTACATTCACAGAGACTGAAGCAGCAAGCACAGGGCCTACATGGGTCTATCCAGGGTTCTCTGTGTATATATTATAGCTATTAGCTTATTATTTTATGGGACTCCTGACTGTAAGAACAAGTAGATCTCTGAGTCTTTTGCCTGCTCTTGGGACTCTTCTCCTTTTGGGTTGCTGTATTCAACTTCAATGTGATGGCTTTTGTTGTATTCTATTATATTTTATTTTGTCATGTTTGGTTTTTACTCTTAGAAGTCTGTTCTAATGAGAGACAGAAAGAGAGTAGATCTGGGTGGTAGAGGAGATGGGGAGGGACTGAGAGTAGTAGAGGAAGAAGAAACTGTAATCAGGATGTATTGTATGAGAATATAATCTATTTTCAATGAAAAGGGAGGGGAAAGGTAGAAAAAAAACTTTAAAGCAAAGTTGCAAAAATCATGAATGACTTACTACACCCAAGTCAAAGAACCAATCAAGGAGACACCAACGTCCAAATGATATCAATGAGGAATATAAGAGCCTTTAAAAATAATTTTACGAGCCAGGCGGTGGTGGCGCATGCCTTTAATCCCAGCACTCGGGAGACAGAGGCAGGCAGATCTCTGTGAGTTCGAGGCTGGGCTGGACCGACAGCCTCCAAAACAATACAGAGAAACCCTGTCTCATAAAAACCAAAAATAATAATAATAATTTTACAAAGAACCTAATGAAACCTTATTCCCCAATGGGCAGTGTTGGTGGCTTTGCTGTGTTTGGGCTTTTGCTAGGTATGCTGATTATAGTTTGTTTGTGTAATTGTGAAGCAGAGAGTCCTCTAAAAGAATACCTTTAGTACAATTTTTTTAAAGCTGTTAAAAAAAACCCAGTCTTAGAGTTCTTCATTTCCTTAAGGGAATCCCTGGTTGACCCTACTTCTGAAGTCTAATGTTTTATTGCCATACAGGAAATACAGAGTTTTCAAATAGATTGGAAGAATGTCCAGATAGTTGTTCCATATTCTTTGCCTATTAGCTTAATAATTAGTGAAACTAAAACCTATCACCTGTTACAAGATTCATGGCTGGTTCCATAGTTGCCTCAGAGCCCCCAAATAAACACACATGACACTATATTAGTTATGAAGCTATTGGCAGTTTGCTATGGTTTCTTAATGACTAGCTCTGACTTAATTATTAACCCATTATTACTAATACATATTTTTATAAGGTCTTATCTTACCGAGGATGAAGGTTCATGTGTCCTCTCTTCCAGGGATCACATAGCGACCCTCCACTCTTGACTACATTTCCTAGAATCTTCCTTGACTCCTAGTCCCACCTATCTTGCTTCCCTATTGGCCAACAGTGCTTTATTTATCAACTAATAGGACAACATATACACAGAAGGACTTTCCCCATCATCTCCCCTTTTCTGTCTAAATACAAAGGAAGGTTTTAACCTTAACATAGTAAAATATATAACATGGCAGTTATTAAGCAAGAACTATAAATACAATATTTAGTCCATTAACATTTAGTCCATTAACATTTAACTTTGTGAGTCTAAAGTATTATATGTGAGTTATCTTTTATCTTACCTAAGGAAAACTATAACTGTAACTATCTGCCTTCAACTCCATCAAAGAACACAGAAAGATAATATAGAAACACTAGAATTGACAGAGACATCCTGCTGCCTGCACAGTCACCCAAAGTTCCTCTGCAATGTTGGGGCATCCATCTTCAGCCGATAGGCCACAGTGTATCTGGCAGACTTCTCAACAAAGCAGGAAATTTTAAGCCGTCCATCTGCATTGGCGGTTTATCAGTCATTTTTCTCTGTGTCTTGCAGAATGTCTGGCAGA